GGGGCCCGCAGGCCCCGTTGCGCTCTGGGAGGTCACCTGAAACTCATCATCTGGATGAGCGCGCTTTAATTCTCAGAGTGCTTCCCGCCGCCATCTTCGTTCACCCGAGACTCCCCCAGGAGCATCTGGTAGGCCGGGATTTACCCTCAGCCCTCACCCACTTTAAGGGTGACACCAGCCGCATCCCAGAAAAATGACTGGCTTGTCCAGGGTCACACGCAGGACTGCAGCCAGGAGAGGGCGGCCTGCGCGCACAGTGGGTGGGCTGAGAGGGCCTCCGGAGGGGACCGTGGCCCGCAGTCCTTGTCAGCCCTCCAGGGCCAGCGAAGCTGAGAAGGGCAGGGACAGTTGGAGAAGAGCCCTGGGCCGCGCTTTCCAGGGGCCTGCGAGCAGCCCCGCGCTGGAAGTCAGGCGGTGACCGAGGGCCAGCAAAGGAACTGGGTTTCTTGTAAATAAGCACAGAGAAACCCCAACCAACGGAGCTTGCAAAACCTTTATTTTCCTCCCTCCCTCTTCCTGATTGCATCTCAGACGGAGGGGGTGGTGGCCGGAGGGACGAGAGGACAGGGCTGACCAGAGCGGTGGCCAGGCCCTTAGCTGGGCGCTTGCTCAGGGAGCAGGACTCGGCGTGCTGACTGCAGGCCAGCCCGAGTGGGGTCAAGGTTGTGGGTGCGTCCGGTGGGTGGCTTACGCCTGCTCCGTCCACGACGACACACTGGCCCCCCAACGCCGGCCCTCGGCTCTTAAATGCACACCACCGGTCACGTGGTGGGCCATGCCGATTGGCTGCCTGATGACTATTAGCCGGAGGAGGGGCTGTTTTTAAGTGGAGGGTACAGCTGTTCCTGGGGTAGTTTCCATTTTGTTTGTGGTTGTGGGGGAGGGGTGTGGAGGGAGTAGGAAATGGCATGAAGGAAATTGTCACTTCCTTTCCAGAGAATTCCAGAAAGGTTTCCTGGAGGACAGGGTATTTCAGGAGAGCGGGCTCTGCGGGGAAGAGGAATGGAGGGGAACTCTGCTTTGTGGCCCGGCCGGCCCACCATCTGGCCCCCATGTTTCCTGGCGTGTGTGAAAGTGCCACGGGTGTTACTAGCAATTCTGTGAGAATCATCGGCTCAGCTGAACGGGTGTAGATTTAAACTCGCTCCACGGAGATGGCGGACGTGGCATTCACAGAGAGGAGGCCCAGAGGGGTGGGTGCTGGACCCCACTTGACGTGTTCCAGTGACAGCCCCAGGAAGGGCCTGTACGTCTGAAGAGGGCACAGCTGTGGTGACGCAGGAGCAACCCAAACCACTTCTATTTTGCTGTTTTGGTTTTGAAATGCTGCCCGAACCACAGAGCGCAAGAGGTGTGCATTTGCAGGCGGGGGCCGCAGGCATCCTGGCTTGCTCCTGCCTGTGCAGCATGCGCGTGCACACGCTCACACCCACGCGTACCTGCACACACACACACACACAATCCCGTGCACGCGGCGCCCAGGAGCCAGGTGCTGTCACAGAGGCTCTGCTGTCTCTCCCGAGGACAGGCCATGGGAGTCAGGGACCTCACGGCGGCTTCGCGGGAGTGAAGGGAGGGGGCGCTGGCCACCTGGGAGAGTGGACTTTGACTGGAGCCAGCTATGAGCTGCGCAACCACGTGCTGGGGGGGAACCCCCCTGTTACTAAGGGTTCCCAGGCACCTCTATCATCTGAGCCCAGTGTTTGTGTGCGCCCTCCAGCCTCCCACTCGCCGGCGAGGCCGTGCCCAGGGCTCTGGGACACTGCAACTGCGTCCAGGCACCTCTGTCAGGGAGGGGCCCTGGTGTGGCCTCTCTTCCTCCAGCAGGGGGGCCTCTGTGCCGGTGGCTTCTTTGGTTTCAGGTTCCCGGGAGAGGGGTTCCAGGGGGGGGTTGGTTTCACTCTGCCAGGGAGAGTGAGAGAATATGCAAAATAATGAGCTGCTCCCTACCTCTCACTTTCAAATCCTCAAACATCTGAAGGGGGAGGGGCAAAACTCTGGAGTGGAAGGTTCTTTGGGGGGGGGGGAGTTTTCTTAGCCTTGGCCAAGACAGCAGGACAGTTACTTCCTTCCCCTACACCCCATTCACCTAGCTTCAGCCTCAAGCTGTGGGGCGCACAAGCTCCCTAGGCTCAGCCTTGCCTGCTGGGCACAACCTCCCAGTCCTGGGCCCGTGGAACCGAGGCCTGCATTGAGATACTTATGTGGACACATAAAAGCCTGCAACTGAATTCACGGGTTTCTTTGCTTTCAAGCCACTCCCCTGTATGTTAATGACAGAGGGTTCAGTGGCAGCACAGTCCTGCCCTCCCGGCTCCACAGCAGAGTGGGCCTGGGAAGGGCGCGCACCCCCAGGGACCCGAGGGCCACATGCACATTCTGCTTCTGCTGCCACTGTCTTCCGGGGAAGCATGTGTCTTTGAATTTCTTTTGGGGGGCGGTGTGGAGCGGTGGAGACCCTTTCAACCCCAGAACCCTGGGTTCCGCCCCAGCCCACCCCTACCTTCACCACAGCCTCTTGGGGAGGACATTAAGCATCAGCTCTAGTTGTCTTCTCACGAAGGCCAGCCTGGAGGAGGAGGAAGCAAGACTGAGCTTGTGGCTCTGACGGCCGGACCAGGGCAGCCCTTTCACACACAGAGGCTCTCACGCACATGTCCCCACACTCGGGGCACAGGGACACACCCTGCACTCGTGTATAACTACGGTGTGTGTACGTCGACGGCCAGCACAGCACACCCATGTCGATTACAGTGCAGACGTACCCCCGCGTACCGCAGACTGCACACGTTCCTCTCATTCTGCGTCAGCCGAGCGCGTGACCCCGCCCCCATGCAGTGTGCACACAGATACGCTCCTTGCCCAGAAGCCACCCCTTTGCGCTCCCCAGCACCATCCATCCTTCCATTACTGTGTTTGTTCCATTGACAACCGAACAGGGGTCCCTCTCCTCCAGTCAGCCACCTTTCACTGGGAGAGATAAGGCAGGTGCGCAGAGCTCCCCCCGGGCGGGGAGCCCCGGGCAGTGAACTTGCCAACAATACAAGTTGCCGGCAGATCCGTGAAGAGCCGCCCGAGATGAGCGACCGGAGGGAGGGGCCCTGGCAGGATGACCTCGCTGGGGGAGGGGCAGACACAGTTGTTTCGGGTTTAGACAAAGTGGGATTAGGTGAAAGTGATCACCTTTCATTTGATTAGTTTGAGAATGCCTCTCCGGCAGCTAGGCCTGTGGGAGGGTGGGAGCTGCGGAATGTGTGGGCCTCGGGGCACTCTGACAGGGGAGACAGACCTTCCAAGCACAAATGGCCCTGAGCGGCTTCGGAGGCCAGCAGGGACAGGTCACTTGCCGGGTCCAGGGGGCCGCGGGAGGGGCGGAGCGCAGGCAAGGCCCCGTGTGCCCTTGCTGCCTCCCCGGCCCGGCCAGACCGTCTTAACTCAGCCAAAGGGGCGCGCAGACCTGACAGGTTGAGTGGAGTGACTTCTCAAAGTTTTGCATTGGGGATGGGTAGAAAGGTGTGGGGTGGGGGTGGGGAGAGGGCGGAGCCAGTCCTGTGGGCTAACGGAAAGGAAGTGGGAGAGGCCTGGGTGTCTCCTGTGGGGGAGAGCGGTCATCAGGGAGGTCACCCGTGGTCCCCTCCCTTCTCTCCTCTTTGCCCCTCTCTGAAGTTCCTCATTTCTTTCTGGGCCAGGAGAAGGTTTGGCCACCCTGGCACTGCCACGGGACAGTGGAGGAGGTAGGGGGTCCAGTGGGTCACTCTGATGATGGCGTGTGGACCCAGCTTTGCAGGTGCTCGGATGAACCGGCTGGCTGTAGACGCACCGCTCACATAGACCACCAAAGCCAGAACCCGGGGCACCAGAGACGTAGCAGCGGGGAAGCCCAAGTGTCCGGGGTGGAGGAGCAGAGCCGGCGACAGGCGGGAGGCCTGGGGTGGGGGGGAGCAGCATGGGTGTGACGGCAGACAACATGCAGAAGAGCAGCTGGCAGAGGAAACCATCGGGGGCCCCGGGTGCCGCGTGAGCGCTGAGGTGCAGACTGAGTGTGAGGCGCATTCCGGGAGAGGAGAGACTCGTGTGGGCCGCAGCAGACAGATTTCCTGGAAGAGGGGGGCCGTGTGTGGGGCCCAGAGTCGAGGGAAGGTTCCGAGGGCCCTTCCCCCACCCCAGGGCTCTCCTCACAAGTTCCCAGGGTGACAGTTCAGTCTTGAAACTGAAAGCAAAGCTGAAGCAAGAGCACCAGCCCACACACGGTCCAGAGGCCATCCTCTCCCTCGACCAACGGGAGTCCGGGAGCCCGCGGGGTGGTGGCTGGGCAGGCCCACCTGTCCCATGTCTCCGGGCTCTCTGGCGGCGCGGCTGAGCCTGAGGGGCCATTTCCTCCGCGACGTCAGTCAGACTGGGGCTGGGTCAGACACATCTCCCCTCCGCCCCCCACCCCCCCCCCCGCCAGGCAAGTCTTCCCCCGGAGATTCTGCCCTACAGAACTAAGTGGCCCTCACCCCCTAGGTAAACTGAGGCAGGCAGGCAGTCTCTAGAAGAACAGCCTGTCCAGACACAGGTCCCACCACAGCCCCCAGCACTACATTCCTCCCCAACCCAAGGGAATTTTAGGGGTTCTTGTGCCACTGCCCCATCCATGTGCCCTGACTCCCCTGTGGTATGCTCTGGGGATGAATCCTCAGGGTCGAATGAACCCCATATCCCTCTGTCACCTTGTCCAGAGGAGGGAGGAGGGGAGGAAAGGAAGCTCTGCATCTTCGGCGCCAGTTCAGGTGCAGGTGCTGGTGGGAAGCTCAGCCACTTCCCGCTGGAGGCCGCTCGTCCCCTTCCTGTCCCCCTTCTCTTTCCCTGCCTCCTCTGTCTCTTCCCCCTCTCCCCGGCCACAGCCCGCCCCAGGTGCCCACCCTCTCTGGCAGTTTGCCCGGCGTGGCCAGGTCTGCCTGTCCTGGGAGCTGGGCGGAAGGAAGGGGACTCACGGCGCCTGTCTCCTTTCTCCCTAGGTCAGGCCTGTGGCGGGCCCAGCCCAGCATGCAGCCTTGAACCTGGCCTAGGCCACCACTTACTCCTGCTCTCAACACCCCCGATTTTACCGTGGCTCGGGGTGTGAGCTCTAGGCTGCAAGGTCCCTGGGCAGAGGCACTTCATCAAGAAATCCCTGCAGCTCCAGAGGGCCCTGCCAATCCCACTGCAGCTCTGAGAACACAGCATGGCTATTACCCTGCAGCCCAGTGACCTGATCTTTGAGTTTGCAAGCAACGGGATGGACGATATCCACCAGGTAGGGCCCCGGAGCGCAGAGCCCAGCCCGCCAGGGTGGACGATCAGATGGATGCAGACAGGCGGGCAGACAGCCAGGGAGCCAGACAGCGGCCGGCCAGCCAGTCAGCAAACATTGATCAAGCACCTACTAGGCCCAGGGCACCGAGCCTGCCCTCCGGACGGCTACGCGCCGGCGGAGACTCCCTCACGTGGCCGGTCAGCCGTGAGCCGGCTGCCTCGTGCGGTTACGTGGCCCGCGTGGTCACCAGGCCAGCCAGGCAGCTGCTAAGTCCATCAGCCGAGCCGGCCGGCCGCCAGCAGCGCGGGCTGCCGCACGGGTGTCCACCGGCCCCCTGCGCGCCCCGTCGCCGCCCCCGCCCCGGTGTCACAGGGAGGACGCCTTGGCACGGCCACAGGGCAGCGCCCCACCCCGTCCCCCTCACGCTCTGCATCTGGCCCTGCCGACCATGACGGCTTGTGGCCTCGCTCTGAAGATTTAGGATGCGTGGGGACTGGGCCTTATGGGCGGGGGGCGCTGGGGGGAGAGGCAGAATTCTGGCGCCTGGTCCCCACTGCTTCATACCTTGCCCTGCACCGAGTGCTCAGCGGGCCCCATCGGGTGGTGTCCCCCGCGCACTCATCACTCCCCACCCCCTCTTCTGCTTCCCCAAACTGGAGAGAGGCAGCCAGGCCTGGCGGAAGGAATGCACCAGGAAGTCGGGAGCGCTGGGCTCTGATGCCAGTTTGGCCACAGCGCTCTCCGGGCAAGCCCGCTCCCCGCCCTGCCTCGCTGCCATCTCCCCGTCTTCACCAGAGCAGAACCAGCTCCCCCAAGGGCGCCCCAACCTAAGTAGGTCCCTCAATCCTAATTCCTCGTGAGGACTGAAGAGCTTCGTGGGCCTCTAGTACCTACCCAAGGCTGCCCCCTAGCGGGCCTGGAGCAGGCCGTGCAGCCTCTGCAACCTGAGGGGCCTGAGCCTGCTCAACTTTCCTGCGCTCCCCGGGGCGCCTGGCCGCTGGCGGGCACTGTGGGGAAGGGCGGGCAGCGGAGCCTCACTTGGGTTCTCAGTGCTTCTCACCAGTTTGACTTGCTTCTCGTTCCCGCAGCTCCTTCTGCCCGGGGTCCGCTCCGCCCGCTGTTGACCCCTCACCTCCCTTCTCCCACTCTTTTTAGGAAACAATTTTTTTTTTTTTTTTTTGCAAAATGTATCATGAATACGAAAGTGCACAAATCACATATCCATACCCAGGGGACTCGCCGTCTCTCAGACATGAAAGAATAGCTAGAAAATGAACATCCACGAGCTCACCCCCCAGGCTGAGAAATAAAACATCCCCAGTGTGCTAGAGGACCCTGATGGCTAAAACACTTCTGGAGAACCTGTTCTATGCCAGGCCCTGTTCTAAGGGCTTAGTGCACATTGATTTATTTTTTAAACCCATGGGGTCAACAATAGGATCACCCCATTTTATACGTGAGGAAACTGACACGAAGTAGATGAGCACAACCCAAGAGAACTTTCCGAGACGCTGTATTTGTGCTGCAGGTTCTGGGGCCGCTGGTCACGTGGTCACGGGGTACTTGAACTATGTCCAGGGCAGCTGAATTTTAATCCTAAAAAGTAATTGCATTTACATTTAAATAATCCCCTTTTGTTATGTAAATACTCCCCTAATCTTTTATATTTAGCTTTGATTTTAGATCAACTTTGTTCTTCAGGGGTCAGATCCCATGTTAACCTTATCCAGCCCAAAAGATTTAGCGACCCTCCTTTTCGCTCTTAGACACATGGATCTCCCTCCCTGGAAAGTGTCTTCATTTCAGACATCTCCAAGGTACTTCAAGCTCACCATAGCCAGACACTCCTCTTAAATTCCCCCCCCCCCCAAACCTGCTTCTCCTCCTCCTGGTTCTCCCTGAACATGAACAGCTGCCCATCCAGTCAGGACGGGCCCTTCCCTTCCGACCTCTATGATGTCTCTGTTCTTCTGTCTTCAATGGCATAGACTGAGCCCCAAGATGGCACAATCGGAGCCCCTTAGCCTGGGCACCGAACCCTGGCTGCGGGGAGCCCCTTACCAGGCTGTAGATGGAGCTCTTTGCCTTGCCGTCACCACTGGCACCAGGATGAGCTTCATGCCCTCAGGCCTCCATTCACCAGAAACACCACCAGTGAAGACTGTGCGCCCAGGCAGCGAGGCCTGGCTGCCTCTTCTCCAGTGTGGGGCACGTTGAGTCCGGGTGGTGCGCAGCTGACCCAGCCGTCTTGAGGTTGGACCCAGAGCACCATCGTCATCCCTGCCCAGGGCAGCCCCTGAGAGCTACAAGAATTAAGAATCGCAAGAAGGGCCAGATTCCAGTGGGGAGGACTTCTTGACAGAGGGGGATGGAGCGGGCCTGAACCAAATCCCTGTCTTCTCCACAGCTGGAAGACCCCTCGGTGTTCCCAGCTGTGATCGTGGAGCAGGTGCCCTACCCTGAGCTGCTGCACCTGTACTCGGGGCTGGAGCTGGACGATGGCCACAACAGCATCATAACCGACGGCGCCTTGTGCATGACTCAGGACCAGGTCCTGGAGGGCAGTTTCTTGCTGGCAGGTCTGTTCCTCTTCGGGACAGGGAAGGCGTGGTGGAGAAGGGGGTGCTGGCCACCGCGGCTTCTAGTGACCCAGGCAGCACGAGCAGGTCCCCGACTGTTGGAATTTAGACCAGCCCAAAAAAGTAGTTCCGCTCCCCAGAGAGGGGGCCATGGAAGCGGATTCAGGTCTTTCAGAGATGTGGCAGGACAACGAGGGAGTGGAAACCAGGCGTCCTCTGCGGGGGTGAAGAGGAAAGGGGAAGCAGGGAGGGGGTGTTCTGGTCCCTTCTGGGCTGTGCCTGAGGCAACGTTTCTTCTCCCCCCACGACGGACCCTGGCACCAGATGACAATGAGGCAGCCATGCAGCCTATGTCGACCACGGAAGTGCTGCTCAATGTCGAGTCTCCCAACGACGTGCTGGATGAGAAGCAAATCTGTAAGTTCAAAGCTGGTGCCTTCGCTCAAGGTGCCAGGACACGCCCTTTATAACGACCACACCGGTGCAGCGCGTGCGGGGGCACAGGTAGCCGCCGGCCTGTGCATACGTAGACGTGCTTCTAGCCGTGCCGGGCCTGGGAAGGGGCAGGAGAGCACGAGGACGAGGACGAGACGGCCAAGGGCACTTTCTCCCCGATGTTTAACTGAGGGCAAAATACACCCGACGTAAAACGGACCCCCTCACCGACACGTCCGTGGATAGCTCAGGGGCGTGCAACGGTCACCGCCGATGCTAGAACTCTCTTCAGCCTGCAAGATGGGCACTCTGCCCCCGTAGACACCATCTCCCCATTTCCCCTCCCGGCCCCTGACGGCCGGCCTTGTACTTTCTGCCCGGTCTCTCGTGCATGCCACTGGGCCCCGACAGCTGCCGTCTCCCGGGGCCCGGCTGGCTTCCTGTGACAGACTCCTCCAGGTCCGTCCATGCTGGGGGCTGTGCTGTGGGCCAGGGTGACTTTTCTGGCCCCTCTGCTGTCTCGCTTGGCCCCCAGGAAGGCTGCGGGGTGTGGCTTACTGGGAAATGTGCCAGGCTTGGAGCACCCCCCTCCCTTCCCTGTTCTTGAAGGCTGGCTCCTACCTGCCCATGAGCCCCCTCCATCCCCGCTGGCTCCTCCCCTCTGATACCACAGGGTGATTCCTGGCCCCCTAATATCCCTGCCCAAGCAGGTGTGGGGGTGGTGGGGGGAGGGAAGCTGCCAGGGAAGAGTCCTAGCATTTGTAATCCTGGCTCCGATAAGAATATTCATCCAGGAGGCAACAGCTTTCTACGCAAGGCCTACGGGCACAGGCGCCAGCTTGCGGTGTGCCCTTGGGCACGTGTCCTACTGTCTCTGGGCCCCCGTCTACGCACCAGGAAAGCAGAGAGATTGGCCTAACTGCTGTCAAGGCCTCCGGAGTTGCAAAATGAGCCGATGACTAACTCGAGGTGGTCCTTTACCCTGGGAGCTGCCTGGAACGCCCCGCCACCGGCTGTGGGCTCCCAGTGTGGCAGCCGTGATTGGGGCCCGCTCGTGCCCACAGCGCTGCAGGTGTTTCCTCTCCTCCTGGCGCGAGACACGTGCGGCGTCTGCAAGCGCAGCCGCCCCTCCAGCCCCCTCCCCGAGCGCCGGCCCAGCTCCCACCCCGCCCTGGGGCCCCGGTCACCTCAGGCCCTTCTTCTTGCAGTCAGCTCCCCTGAGATGCTCCCAGACTCAGACCCGGCTCTGGCCGGCGCTCTGCCCAACTACACGTTTCCTGTCCCCGAGCCCAGCGCTCTGGCCAAGGCCGGCGACGCTGGCGGCCGCGAGGGGCAGCCCCCGGAGGAGAAGGCGCTCGGGGAGGACAGTGCCAAGAGGACCGGGAAATCGAAGAAGAGAAGTAAGAGACACGGGGGGGGGGGGCCGGGGGGGGCTTCAAGGAGGTGAGCGACTGGGGTGGGGAGTCGGGGAGACCCTAAGGGGGTCCCGGCCTCACGCTCCTCTCGCCGTGTCCCCCGCAGTCCGGAAGACGAAGGACAGCCGCAGCGCCTCGCCGGTCACCGACCCCAGCGTGCCCATCCGGAAGAAGTCCAAGGACGGCAAAGGTACGCGGCGGCGGGCGGGGCGGGGGCGGCAGGGCAGGGGCTGCAGGCCCTCACCGCCTGCCCGCGCCCTCCGGCAGGCAGCACCATTTACCTGTGGGAGTTCCTGCTGGCGCTGCTGCAGGACAGGAACACCTGCCCCAAGTACATCAAGTGGACCCAGCGCGAGAAGGGCATTTTCAAGCTGGTGGACTCCAAAGCCGTGTCCAAGCTGTGGGGGAAGCAGAAGAACAAGCCTGACATGAACTATGAGACCATGGGCCGGGCGCTAAGGTAGGCGCGGCTCGGCCTCCCGGGCCCTGCCGTGGGCGCTGCCAGGCTCTTCCCCAGGGCCGCGGTGTCCCCCGAGAGACCAGACTCACCCTCGAAGGAAACACTCCCCCTTTGCTTGCCCCTCTGGGAGGACAGTCCCCTCCTCTTGCATTTCTTTCCTGGCGTTTTTTCTTTTTTAGAATGGAAGAGCTTTTTTTTTTTTTTAAACATTTATTTTATTTCTGTATGCATACAAGAACTGGGGTGCAGGCCAGAGGTGCGGGGGTGAGAGGATTCATCAGAGAGGGGGGGGGAGCAGAACAGGAGGATCTACTGAAACACGCTGCTGAGGGGAGCGGCGGGCGAGTCAGGAGAGGCCTGCTGCGCCACGTGGGTAGCTCCCTGGCGGGGATCGAACTCAAGACGCAGTGGCTGCCACTAGCCTGATAGTGCTGAGAATTTAACCCCTGCGCCACCAGGCTTCTCAGGGCCTCCCCTCCCCCAGTAGGACCTCCTTCACGGTCTGCAAGCCGGACACCCCGGGAGAGGGCCCTGCGTGATTCAGGCAGTGGGACCGCGAGCGCCCCGTCATCTGCGCCCTCCTCCCTCACTCTCCTCTGCCCCAAAGCAGGGTGGGGGCTGCTTTGGGTCCCTTTCGCGGACCCTTTGATGCTCAGAGCAAGAGCTCTGAGGTTTCATAAAGACCTCCCAAGTCCAGGTGCTGGCCCCACTCCTCTCCTTGCCCCCCCTTTGCTCCCCCACTGGCCTCACACTCGTGGGCTGTGGACAGTGGGTGGCGTGACCCTGGCTAACTCCCCGCCCTTTGTCCCCCAGATACTACTACCAAAGAGGCATCCTTGCCAAAGTGGAAGGGCAGAGGCTGGTGTACCAGTTTAAGGAGATGCCCAAGGATCTGGTGGTGATCGAAGACGAGGATGAGGGAAGCGAAGCCTCAGCATCATCACCTCAGGCCTCCACTCCCTCCACCTCCTCTGGTAGTGCCACCCGGCGAAACAGCTCCAGAGTCTCCTCCAGAGCCACCCCCCAAGCCAAGGGCAGCTCCTCCTGGGAAAAGCCCAAGGTTCAGCAGCTTGGTCTCCAGCCATCTGCGAGTCTGGAATCGGGACTGTCTCTAGATGAGGAGCTCCCCACTACCTCCACCATGCTGGTCTCGCCGCCACAGAACCAGGCCAAACTCCCCAAAGCCGTGAGGTAAGGGGTAAGGGTTCTACCCAGTTGTCTTACTGGGGCACCTCGTGTTGGGGGTTACTTTTCAGCTTTTTGCAAAGTTCTACTGTGTTTCTGGCCTCAACTTGTCAGTCAAGACAGAAAAGTGACTTGCCCCGGGTCCCGCACCAAAGTAGTGGTGAAGTCAGCTCTGTCTTTTTTTTTAAAGATTTATTTTATTTATACAGGAACAGGGGTACAGGCCAGATGCGTGGGAGGGTGAGAGGACCCACCAGAGACAGAGCGGGGAGCAGAACAGGCAGAGTGACTGAAATACACTGCTGAGGGGAGCAGCGGGCGAGACAGGAGAGGTCTGCTGCGCCATGTGTGCTGCCCCGACAAAGAGCCCAGACAAATTGGCGGGGATGGAGCCGGCGCTGCAGAGGCTGCGGACAGCTTCACAGCGCTGCGCTCAACCGCCTGCGCCACCAGGGAGGCCCTGAAGTCAGCTCTTGACTTGGGGAGGCTTCTGGCGCCACGCCCAGGTGTCTTGTTACCCAAGAAGGTTCCCCCAGCGGCCACCAGGGGCCTCCACATCTGCACACACCGCACCCCTCCACCCCAGCACCCTCAAGTCTCCACCCCAGAAAAGAGACAACAGAAGATATTGCAGAGACACTGGCTCTGCCTTCCTCAGCCCTTCAGGCCCACCTGGAAAACTTTCTCGTGGCTTCTTGTCCACACTCAGGTGCCTCCAGTCTTCCCCGGAAAGTTTGGGCTTTGTCTGGGCTCTGTGTGTGTGCCCCTCACTACTCAAGCCCGGGTTACTGAGCTGCTCTCTGGGGGAGGGAGGTGCTGGTGCGGAGGAGGGGCAAGAACCCCGGCTGGGGAGGAGCAAGCCCACATGTGAGTCCCTGTAGCTGTGTGGTCTCGGCCAGGGTACGGAGCCCCTCTGGCGCCATCATCAACCTTATTTGACTAACGTGCTGACTGGAAGATTGAGCGAAGTGCAGTAGGGCCACGATCTAAAAGACCCCTCACCCTGGCCAACCAGAACCAAGCAGCTGACTGCTCTCAGCTCCTTCCTCCCGGGCACTCCTTGCCGTGCAGTCCAGGCCTCCTGCCTTAACCCCCGAATCTGTTCTCTCTCTCCTCAGTACTCCTGCGCCCGGCAACATCCACCTGGGGGTGGCCCCTGTGGGCTCGGGCTCAGCCTTGACCCTGCAGACAATCCCACTGACCACGGTGCTGACCAGCGGGCCTCCTGCCAGTACTACTGCTTCGACCCAGCTCGTTCTCCAGAGTGTTCCGCCTGCTTCGGCCTTCAAGGACACCTTCACTTTGCAGGCGTCCTTTCCTCTGAACGCCAGTTTCCAAGAGAGCCAGGTGGCAACACCAGGGGCTCCACTGATTCTGAGCGGCCTCCCCCAGTTTCTGGCAGGGACCAACCATCCAAGCAATCCAGCCTCACCCTCGGTCACAGGGGCTGCACCCGCAGGGCCCAGCTCTCAGCCCCCGGGGACTGTCATTGCGGCCTTCATCAGGACTTCCAGCGCCACCGCAGCCCCGAGGGCCAAGGAGGGGCCGCTGAGGTCTCCCTCATATGTGCAGGGGGTGGTTACGGGGGCCCCTGTGGAGGGGCTGCTGGTTCCTGAAGAGACCCTGAGGGAGCTCCTGAGGGAGCAAGCTCACCTTCAGCCACTTCCAACCCAGCTGGTTTCCAGGGGTCCCCACAATTCGAGCCTTCTGGGGAGCCAGACTTGCTCTCCTCCCAGCCGCCCCACGGTTGGGCTGACCCCAGTGGCTGAACTTGAGCTCTCCTCAGGCTCAGGGTCCCTGTGTCTGGCTGAGCCCAGTGTGCCCGCGTCTGGGGGCCGGCTGACCAGATCCCCCACCCCCGCCCCTTCTCCCCATTCAACCCCACTTCTCTGATTAAGATGGAGCCCTGAGACGCAGGAAGGGCGGAGTGGGGGGGTCGCGAGCTGCAGGCCAAGACGAGCAGCGTTTTTACCCAGACCTCCCTTAGTGGGGCCCGGCTCCGGTACACCTGCCCTTCCATTTCCGGGGGACCCCCCCCCCTGCGTAGCCATGGCCACGCCAGGCCAGGCCCGATCTGAGCGCTGCCGGCGTCAGGCCGCGGCCTTCGAGAGCACCGGGCGATGGGCTTCTCTGGAGTCGTGGGCCGGCCTGGCGGTGGCGGGCGCGCCCGGGGAGCTGCGGCCTGGGCTGGTGCAGGGGCTCGCGGGAAAGTCCTTGTGCCTGGCTGGGTGTCCCCCTCTCTGGCTGCCCCCCGGGGGGTTGTCGCCCCGCCTGTGAATGTGTCTGTGTGTCTCTGAGTGTCTCTGTTTCTGGAGGACGCGGGGTGCAGCTGCGAGGCTTCCAAGGGCGTGGGTCTCTCTGGGGGGGCCGCAGGGGTGGGGGGTGTTTTTGAAGGGAAATTATTCTCCAGTTCCCCCAACCCAGATTCGGTTGCTGAGACTCTGGAGAGCAGGTGGGGCCCCCTGAGCGGGGAGAGGCCGCAGAGCTGCAGCGGATCCGGGAAGGAGGGCCTCGAGGGCGCGCGTCTGGGGGAAGGTGCCGTTGGCAAGGACGCGGCAAAGGCCGAGCGGAGGAGCAGCCAGAGAGGGCAGGGAGCTCGGCCGCGGGGAGCCGCCCTCCTCGGCCCGTGCCAGCGTGCCCGCACCTCGAGCGCCTCGGAGGCGGCCGCCCTGCCGGCGTGAGGCCCGGCCACGCAGGCCCAGCGGGCGCCGGGCGGACTGGACGTGGGCGGCAGGGCTTGCTCTGTGAGGCTGGCCACGCGCCCCCGACGGCCTCTGCGGGCACCCCGGCCCGTACCCTCCCCATGCCGGGGTCCCTCTCGGTTCATTTTGCCCCCGACGTTCTGCTGTCAGGTGCGACTGGGGAGTCGCGTCGCCCTGGCCCTCGGGGCCGCCTCTGTGCCGGCTCTCTCGTACCTGCTGCTCAGCCCTGCCTCTACTCACTTTGTAGGTTTGCCAGCCCACCCACCCCCACGACGGCTGCGGCAGGCCTCCTCCAGCGGACCGCTGCCCCTCACCTCCAGCTTTCGCACCTGGCCCTGATTCCTCCTTCGCCCAGAAGACAGGAGCCAGCAGCTGAGCGCTCTCTTAGTCCTTCCGTCTCGACGCGGAGTCTTGCTTCCCTGTCGCTTTCTGAGGAAGGGGCGCGCTGTGCCCCCCCACCCCCGCTTTGACCTCGCTTGCCCCATCAGCCGTCGGCACCCGGCATCCGCCAAATTGGGTTAATGTGAATCGGTGCCACAGGACCTTTGCTACATCCTTGGCACGAAACCATCTATTTGGCCTAACTACCTCCCTTCGTTGCTCTCTCGTGTTGGGTTAGTCACTGTCCCACCTACTGTCGTCTTGGCGCTCTCTGGCTCTCCCTCCACCCCACGCCGGCGGGAGGGCCGTTCATGGTTGTGCAGATGTATTTATTACATGTTTCTAGCACTTAGAAAAGTGTCGGTGTTTTTTTAATAAAATCAGTTTATGATGACAAATTCCTGATGGTGGAAAGTAAAGTAACTCGAGAAAGGGTCGCCTTGAAGACAACCGCACCGAGGCAGTCGCAGGTCGCAGGTCAGGGCCGGCCCGCCCCGCCTCGGGGCCCGCGCTGCACTGGCCCTCCGCAGGTCGGGACCCTCGCGGGGGCGGGCGCAGCCGCCTGGTCACCACGCAGCGCCCGCCCCTCCCGCCTCGTGGGCTCCTCCGCTTCCTCGGTGCCCACCTGGCTCTGCATCTGCCCATTTAAATGTGGGTGTCCCCAAGGGAGCCGTCCATTCCCCTGACTCCTGCCGGGGGCGGGGGGGGGTGAGCCTGGAACCCGGAGCTCAGCCCCTCGCCTTCCCTCCTCAGCTCGAGGCTTGCGTCCCCAGCTCTCTGCTCCTCATTTCCCCCCGGGGGCCTGCCAGGCCCTCGAAGGTAGCCCCTCCCTCGAAAATGGATTTGCTGTGTCTTGGCTGTCTCTCCACACACACGGCCTGTCCCCAGCAAACAAAGGAAAAGCCTGGTGACCTGCTGTTTCTGTGAACAACGCCCCCCCCCCCCCCCCCCCGTTTCCCCAGCTACACTGGACGGGGCACAGCCGTCGGGGCGGCTCTCCCCCGTGCCTGTCGTTGTCCGCCGCGTCCTCGCCTGAAGTCCAGCGCGGTCTGCAGTGTATCTAAACTGGCCCACTTCCAGCTCAGACTTACCCAGAGCTGGCCTCCTGGCAGGCCCTCCCGGCGAGGCCCCCCGCCGCCAGGTCCTAGCGGGCTCGGCCGGCCACGTCTCACCCGTGCAGTGCTCCGGCCACCCCCGGCGCGTCTCCTGCAAGCTCCTCGCTCCTGCGAGACGGCGCTCCTTGGTTCTGCTCACCCAGAATGCTCGTCCCGCCCCGTTAGTGCCAACTGCATGGCACCCACCCTTCCAGACCCCGTGCACAGCCGCTGCCCTGCCCCGGGCCAGCCTGCCGTTCAGGGAGTCCCTTATTTCACACGGCAGCAATCGCCAGGCTTTGGCCCCGGGTCTCGAACAGCCCGTGACAGCTCCGCTGCTACAATCAAAACTGTCACTCAGAGCTTCAGTGCCCCGGACCTATTTTGTCTCCCCAACCGGGGTTACCATCTGGGGCTGCAGCACCCGAGAACGGGTCTCACCGCCGAGCATGCAGTGAGTGCCGCAGCTGGAGGGACAGGGGGGCCACACTTGGAGGCAGATGACCTCTGACCTCCCCTCTGCACAGGCACTCACCCCGGGTGCTCCCTGCCTGTCCTCCCTGGGTCAGTGTCCTTGTGCTACCCCCACCCACCCCAGTTTCCACTCCCAAGAGTTGTTACTACTTCGAACATCCGCTGCCTCTAAAGAAACTTCCCTGTCCAGTTTCTTTCCTACTCCAAGTGTTCAATTAGCTGATCTGGCCAACACCTGTGCCGATCCCGGTACCGGCAAGGGCTGGGGGAGGAGCTCGGAGACGGCTCTGTTGCAGCAGGGTCACTCGGCAACGACATCCTGCCCTGGGGGTGGACGCCCCTCAGGCCCCAGCACCTGATGTCTTGCTCCCTCCTCCGCAGCACTTTGTGCCTAGCACTTAGCCCACGGTGGCAGCTCAGCTGTGGGTCTGTCCGTGCTCCCCTCCGGTAGACTGTGAGCTCCTCACGGACAGGGACTCTGTGTCAGTCCCTGATGTATCCCCAGCTCCTAGCACAGTGCCTGGCACCCAGTAGGTGCTCAATGAATGTTTGTTGAAAGAATGATCGAGTCCTGCTTCTAATGGGGGTCTCAGCCCTATGCTGAGGCAGGCACGAGAGGAGGGCGGAGCAGCCATGCCAGGGGGCCACGGCTCACTGCAGGCCGCTGCTTCCTTTGCCCCAGTCTGGGCCACCCCCAGACGACACTATGCATAAGGTGCCCAGGGCCGTTCCCAGCTGTGCTTTGTTGTCACCGGGCGCCCCAGGAGACTTCTGAGCCGCCACCCCTTGCTGCGCTCCCCTTAGAGGCAGGACTGGCAGGCCCGGGGGAGGGGCGGAACGAGAAGTCGGTCTCCTGTGCCCAGGTCTTTCTGATGCCATCACGTTTTTGAAAAAGCCGCTTGCCTGGGGCTCCGAAGCCGCTGGATCGGAGGCGACTGAGGCCGTGCTCCCGGGCGCTGCCAGGGCTGGGAGGCTGAGGCGGCGCCAAGGGGTCGCGGGCTCAGAGCCCGGCGCGGGCACGCCGGGCGCGGGAGGGCGGCGTCCGGCAGGTGGCGCCGTCGAGCCGCCAGCCGCGGGCGGGCAGCCCGGCGGAGCCGTGCAGGGCGGGGCGGCCGGGCGGGGCCTGGCGCTTCCTGTGAAGGCGGCCGCGGCCGCGTCTTCCGTCCCTCGTCCCTCGGCGCTGACTTTGCGCCCCGAGCCGCTCCCGGCTGGTTCCGGCCCCTCCAACGGCCTCCACCGTGCGAGGGCGTCGAAGTTCTCCCGCGCCGGCCCTCCCCGCCACTTTGCAGGGGCGCCGAGCCGCCGGGCAGGCCCGCTCCCCATTGGCCGGCCGCGCCCCGCCCCGCCCCGCGCCCCGCCCCGCCCCCGCGCCCCCGCCCGGGGCCTGCAGGTGAGCCCGCGCCCGCCCGCCTCCCCCGCCGCCCTCCGCCGCGACATCCGGGGGCCCGCGGGGGCCCGACCGCCTGCGGCCTGCGCGCGGGCCCCCGGAGGACGGCGCCGGGCGACCGACGCCGCGGCTCGCCGGCCTTCCCCTCGGAACCCCGCGGCCTGGGGGAGCACGCGGAGCCCGGCCCGCCCCGCTCCGGGTCGGCCGCTCAGCCTGCCAGCCTGGGGGCGGCGCTGGTCTGGCCGGGGCAGCTTCCCGGGGCCGGCTGGATGTGCAGGGGCAGGCGCCTTCGGCTCCGAGTCTCCGCACACCCCAGCCTGGCAGGGAGAGGGAGAGAGCCGCCGGCCCTTCTTCTGGGCGGGGCTTCGCTTTCGGCCTTGCGCTCCCGAAAGGAACATTCTGGTAAGATCGACTTGTGACCGCAGCGCCGAGGAGGAACTGACTTCCCGAAAGAGCGTGTTGTCGGTGGGATCCTCTTCAGTGCTTCGTACATTGAGCCCCATTTGGCAGATGGAGCAATGAAGGCTCCAAAGACTAGGTTACCACCCAAGGGCAGCCCAGGTGGTCAGTGGAGGAGCTGGCCCCGCCCGCGCTCCAGTGAAAGGGCCGGGAGAGCATTTCCCAAGATGCCGGCCGCCCTCACCCCCGCCCAGCCCGGGGCTGCAGATCGCCCACCCCTGCCATGAGGAGGCGCCTTGCCTCCTGCCTTCATCTTCCCCAGCCAGGCGAAGGGCAGCGGCAGGACTCCAGAGAGGCTCGGGGCGAGAACCCCAGTGCCGGAAAACAGGGAGCTACTCTTTGCATCTACTTTTAACCGCCCCCCTCCAGCCTTTCTCCAGGTGAATGAAGGGGTGTGCACACAAACCCAAAAGCCAGTCACCGCTCCCCCGGGGGACCAGCGCCCATTCCTTCCCGTCTCTCAAACACAGACACACAGTTCCGCTCATACAACCAAACCAACGCCACTCTCTCCTCTCCACCAGCCCGGGCCCCAGGATTCGCCCCTGCCAGGCTCCCAATCCCTCCTGCCTTAAGTGCAAGTCTAAGGGTAACCTCCACCGCTGGCCCTTCAGGCTTTCTTCTGAACTGCAAGCAATTATCTTTCTTCCCCTCGACTCGGCCTGCTGCGCCCCCAACACCGAGACACCTGCCATACCCGGCTCCAGCTTTCCCGTGGCTCCACTGGGCTCCCACCCCTACCTCCCACCTGCCCCTGCCGCCAAAGCGACACAGAAATGGTACTTTCTTGTCTCCGAGCCTTTGCTCAGATTGTCCCAAGTTTGGAGATCTGTCCCTGCCGCCCCAAATCCCTACTTCCTACTTCTTGAAGGATCCGCGGGGCACCTCCCTTCCCAGGAAGCCTCTCACCAGCCCAGTGGCCCTGCCATCCCTTTGGCTCCCGGGGCATCCTGGGGTGAGCTGAAGTCCTGCACCCGCCACATGCCTTTCCTGACCTATTGACATGTCTGGCTTCTTAGCTGCCAGTTCCAAACAGAATTTACCTGAAATCACTATTGCAGGGTTGTTTGGGAACCCAAGAAAGCAGCAACCCTAGAGGGCCTGAGGAT